GGGGGGGGGGGGGGGGCAAGGTTTGCGTTTTAATGTATATTTTACATATTTCTGTAGGCATAAAGGGTTAATGTGGGCGGGGATACAATTTTGTTTCCTTTCCAAACCAATTGCAAGCAGTCATGAGAGTGCTAACAAGTCAAAAGTACCAAACTTCATCAAATATTTTGAGTGCACGTTTAAAAGCAGATAAAACGGTCTATCAAAAACAAAAACAGCAAATAGAACTGCAAACACGCTCACCGTCATGAAGTAGAACTCGCAGTCAGCTGAGCAGCTGGTTTCAAACTCAAAAGTGATCCGGCTGTACTCACTGCCGGATGCTCCTCGAACTGACACAGGCAACCTGATACGACAACAGTAACAGACTCATTTCTAAACAGACAGCACATGTTATGTGAGGAAAAACACTTCTCCATACACACCAAGTTCTGTACCAAAAGGACATTATGTTCTTGTAATACCAACTCACACAGCAGAAACGTACATGTACAGCATTTTAACCATGCTAATCACACAAGGCTTTAATGCGCTTTAATGAACGTAATGCGCAGTGGGCGGCACTTGAACAATGTAGTTGTGTGGAGGTGGACAAGTACTTGAAGACTCACTTGAATCCAGGCACCGTGAGAGTTAATATGAGATAATCGTTATCTGAACGACCTGCTCCTGATTGTACATGATCACCCGCTACTTCCCAACCTAAAACACACAAAATGTTCAAGATATGAAGGTATTATGCACACAATGTACACAAAAAATAAGAACATGTAGAAAAGCCCATTTAAATTTATCAGTGATGCAACACCGACACCTAGCAGTAAAAACAAGCATTACAGCCATATGCTGTAACATAATACCACACCATACTCATGTAATCTCTCACCATTCAATCCATCACAATTGTTGTTGGCCACGTTGAAGCAGGATGTCTTCATGTTGGCAGGCAGCACGTTCCACCACTTGTAGTCATAGACGAGGACAGGCTCCGTGCCAGCTGGACAAGGCTGGCATGCTACAGATGCCACACAATCCATGTTTAATATCTTTTGGCTGTTTGTTTGAAATGATGTTCATGCTTTTGAAATAATCATAATTCATACGTCCTTCTTAAGATGTCAGGATAGTTTCTCACCTTTGACCCCATCGGAGTAAGTCCCGGGTGGACAGGGAGAACAGATGGCAGTGTCGTTGTTATAGAAACCAGGATTACAGGGTGGACAAGGCTCACGCTGACCAGAAGGTGGCAGTGTTACTGCGCCAGCAGCAGCTGCCAAACAAATCTGAGGCTCTACCCACTTATATATGACCTGAGTCTGAGAGAGACAGCATTCCTTGAATATTTTAAATGGAAAATTAAAAATATATTTTACGACATTTCTCTCTCTCTCTCTCTCTATATATATATATATATATATATATATATAAACACATACACACACACAGGTGCATCTAAAAAAAAAATAATATTGTGAAAGTTCGTTTTTTTGTAACTTATTTCAAAAAGTGAAACTTTCATATATTCTACATTCATTACATGTAAAGTGAAACATTTCAAAAGTTTTTTTGTTTTAATTTTAATGATTAGAGCTTCCAGCTCATGAAAGTCAAAAATCTAGTATCTCAAAATATTAGAATATTTACATTTGTGACCCTGGACCACAAAACCAGTCTTAAGTTCCAATTTTTCCAAAACTCAGACGTCTTCAGGAAAGGGGCTACCAAGCCACTTCTGAAACAGAAACAATGTCAGAAGCATCTTACCTGGGCTAAGGAGAAAAATAACCGGACTGTTGCTCAGTCCAAAGTCCTCTTTTCAGATAAAAGTAAATTTTGCATTTCATTTGGAAATCAAGGTCTGGAGTCTGGAGGAAGACTGGAGAGGCACAGAATCCAAGCTGCTGGAAGTCCAGTGTGAAGTGTCCGAAGTCAGAGATGATTTCTGGTGCCGTGGCGTCTGCTGGTGTTGGTCCATCGGGTTTTAGTAAGTCCAAAGTCAATGCAGCCGTCGGTCTGGAGGAAGACTGGAGAGGCACAGAATCCAAGCTGCTAGAAGTTTCCGAGGTCAGTGATGATTTGGGGTGCCGTGATGTCTGCTGGTGTTGGTCCATTACATTTTATCAAGTCCAAAGTCAATGCAGCCGTCTACCATGAGATTTTGGAGCACTTTATGCCTTCATCTGCTGACAAGCTTTATGGAGATGCTGATTTCCTTTTCAAGCAGGACTTTAGCACCTGCCCACAGTGCCAAACCCACTTCCAAGTGGTTTGCTGACCATAATATCATGGTGCCTGACTGGCCAGCCAACATGCCTGACCTGAACCACATATGGAATCTATGGGATATTTTCAAGAGAAAGATGAGAAAGAGTGGATCCAACAATCCAGACGAGCTGAAGGCTCAATAGTACCTCAGCAGTGTTACAGGCTGATCGCTTCCATGCCACACCTCACTGATGCTGTTAAAGAAGTTTGTGCTAAAGAAGCCCCGGCCAAGTATTGAGTGCATAAATGAACATACTTTAAAGAACTTGAACTTTTCTGTTTTGCAAATCCTTTTTTTGATTGATCTTAGGAAATATTTAATATTTTGAGATACTGGATTTTTGACTTTCATGAGCTGGAAGCTCTAATCATCAAAATTAAAACAAAAAAACTTTTGAAATGTTTTACTTTACATAGAATTTATGAAAGTGTCACTTTTTGAAATTAGTTTATTTTTTTTAAATTCACGATATTCTAATTTTTTTAGATGTACCTGTACATGTATGTATATATATATATATAGATAGATAGATAGAGAGAGAGAGAGAGAGAGAGAGAGAGAGAGCATTTATGTACTTGTATGTTTTAAATGGAAAAATAAAGAATATTTCTATTTTACGACATTACTCTCTCGTATTTATACATACATACATAAATACATATTAAAAAAAACTTTTAAATGCAAGCTTAAGTATATATTCATTTACAAATGTATATAAAAGTGTATATATAAAATAAATATGGGACACTTATGCTTTAAAAAATATAGTACATATACATTTTTTTAAATAATTATTTTACCTTTCCATCTTTATCACAAGTGCTGTATGTCTGGATGTAGTCTTTTTCTGAGCATGGCGGTCTACTTTTGCACATGGCAGAGCCTTCTGCTATTAAAGATACAGAAGAGTCATACCTCACATAGACATGAATAGTTTGGAACTGGAAGACAAGCCTAACACAAGCAAAATGATTCAAAGTGTTAAAAAGGAATTATTGTGATATGAGGTCAAGGTGAGTAAGTGATATCAGAATCTCTTTTTTGTGTGTGTTCTATTCCCTTAAAATCAAATGGCTTCATTTCTGCATAAATATGTGTACATACAAAATATGATATCAAAATATCAAAAATATTAAATATCATATCTTTTTATTTTGTCAGCCAAACCCATTTGACCAAAAATATTTACTATATATTTATATTTACTATATCTACCCTGTGATTTTAATATTCAAATGGATTAGCAACAAAACACAAAATTTGCACTCAAACTTTCATGTTGAGTAATGGTCACATATCATGCAAGTAAACAAATAAAATCAAATCAAACAGGTCTATGCATTAATAGAGAACAGCCTATGTGGTATTCATATGCATGTATGTACTTACAGGCGTAGTGTGTTTTTGTGTTGCAAGGTGTGCAGGAGCTGGCCCCTCGGCCAGAATACGTGTCTCGTGGACAGGACTCACAGGAGGAGGAGCCCGGGGTGCGGCTGAACATCCCAGGCTTACATGGAAAACACTCTGATGTATACGCCACACCTGAAGGAGAGAAATGGTGTCATATAATCTTTCAATAAGGGGAAGAATTTTATTTTATTTATTTTTTTCAGATTAAAATGGGGTGCACATTCGTAGCACATCCTGACCTTCGATCCGTATGTTCTTCAGGAGTACAGGTTTGACTGCTTTAGAGCCGAGTGTTACTCTAGTGGTTCTCCAATACAGGATATTAGTGCCAGAATTCAGATTCACCTGATATATGAGGAAAACAACTGTTCTGTTACAATGATTTCTGAAGGATCATGTGATATTGAAGACTGGAGCAATGGCTGTAATTCAGCTTTGCTTCACAGGAATAAATTACATTTTAAAATATACTCAAAGAGAAAACAATTATTTTAAACTGCAATCTTATTTCACAATATTTTATTCATCAAATAAATGCAGCTTTGGTGAGCAGAACAGACTTTCAAAAACACTTTAAAAAATCCCCAAACTTTCGAATGGCAGTTCAAGTTCAAGTGTTTATAAAAATAAAATAATAACAATAATAATAGTAGTAGTGTGTAGTTTTTGACTTGCACTATGTGTTCCCCGCTCTCCATGTCTGAATCTGTCAAAAAGAAAACAATACAAAATAGCTGCTTTTGATGTCTTAAAATATCTTGCAAACAAACATTTCACAGCCGAAATGGGATCCAAACTTACAAAGAACTCAAAGAAGATGCTGTTATCCACATACTGGTAGTCAAAGTACACTGACCCCGGCTTCTTCAAGTGTACAGTGTAGATCAGAGACACAGTACACTCATCTCTGTTGGACTCCAGATACGAGCCCTGAGAGACCCACTTTGCACTAAACACACACAAATACACAACAACACACACACACTGTGGTGACTACAGTCTTAAGTTATATAACAGGATAAAAAATAAATGATTGGTTTAATACTTGTATTAAATACTTGCATTTTGATATTAAATAAATAAATAAATAAAAGGAAAGTGCACAAATACAGTGTTTTATTGCAAAGACTTTGATGAGAATAAACAAATGAGAACTTGGATTGGGAACAGTCATTTTAGATACATTTGACTGGCTGTAAGTAAAACTGTCTCTAATATGCATGTTGTTTTTTGTGCATTTGGATTTTATTTCTATTTAGTGTTGGACAAATAAACAGAACACATTGTCAATACCTTTTAAAACACACCAAATACAGAAAGCAAAAATCATGTGGTCTTCGAAACAATCTTTTATACATGACTGACTCTTCCGAAGGAACTGACCTGCTGCAGGTGGACGCATTCTGTCTGTTGGGCGAGTTGTCAGGGCTGGTTGCAAGGCTGCTGAATCCAGGAGGAATGTCGCCCCACTCATCCAAACGCAGGCCGCTGCCCAGCGAATAAGTGCCAGCCGCACACGGAGTGCACTCCTGAGCAGACATCTCCAGAAACTCCCCCGCTTTGCACGAGAATGCTGACCGAAAGACGTAACAAAATGTACAATACATTTTATGCCAAAGAAAATAAAACATACTGACCAGATCAATCACTAATCCAAATACTGGGTGGGTCAAGTGCACCAAAACTATTATTATAGATCTTAAATCAGTTAGGCCATAACATTCAGCCCACTAACGTACACAAATAAAAATGAATGAATGTTAGTTTTTTTTATGCTATTTAGCTTTTTTGGTTAATTAATTCATTTTAATTTTTATTTGTATTTTTTTACAAGCATGCCAGCTTCTTTAGCTGCTTTAATTAATTTAAATTGTTGTTGTTGTTGTTGTTGTTTTAAAAACCATACCAGACTCTTTGTCCATTTAAAATAAATAAATACATTTTGTTTTTAATGCCATGCCAGCTTATTCTGATGAATAAATAAATAAATATGCAAGCTATCATGTTCCTCTGAAGAAATTACTGATACCATAACGAAGTACATATAAACTTCAGTGTAATTGTCAATTTGAAATCAATAATGACAGCTTTCCTGTAATAAAAAAAACATTATTACAGTCAACATTCAACAGAATTCCAAGCTTTTAACGTCCATGATGAGACACATTTTAAAAATGAATAATTTGCAAGAAATAAGGTAATTAGTGGGACCTATTTTATACTATTTTATACACAGGGATCTCACTAAGTCATGAGAAAATTGTATTTGTTAATTTTTTTTCCACCACTGTAGTCTTTGTTGTGTCAGAAGAAAGCAAAAATAATTTCAGTTTTGATGAATATTTATGAAGATATTAATAATGAGCACAATAAAACTTCAGACATTTATTAATAAAGCAAAAAGGGACATTTTTCAAACTATGAACCTTTCGTTCATATTATACATGACTTGAAATAAAATATAGGGGCCAAGAACTGGTTTTGGGAATGATTACTATGGAGCTACTGAACATACTCTGTCCAAGAGGAAATTCCTCTGTGCTGATAAGGGGTGACAAATATCCTGTTCCAATTCACACACTTAACATTCAAAATGCATGGAATCACATTAGTGTACACATTCATGCATGAACATGCAAATAAACAAGTTTTAAAAAATCCCCAAACTTTCGAATGGCAGTTCAAGTTCAAGTGTATATAAAAATAAAATAATAACAATAATAATAGTAGTAGTGTGTCGTTTTTGACTTGCACTATGTGTTCCCCACTCTCCATGAGTAGTTAATTTGATCCATTTTTTATTTGAATCCTGGTCCATCTCTTGACACTGGTCGTTCTGAATCTGTCAAAAAGAAAACAATACAAAATAGCTGCTTTTGATGTCTTAAAATATCTTGCAAACAAACATTTCACAGCCGAAATGGGATCCAAACTTACAAAGAACTCAAAGAAGATGCTGTTATCCACATACTGGTAGTCAAAGTACACTGACCCCGGCTTCTTCAAGTGTACAGTGTAGATCAGAGACACAGTACACTCATCTCTGTTGGACTCCAGATACGAGCCCTGAGAGACCCACTTTGCACTAAACACACACAAATACACAACAACACACACACACTGTGGTGACTACAGTCTTAAGTTATATAACAGGATAAAAAATAAATGATTGGTTTAATACTTGTATTAAATACTTGCATTTTGATATTAAATAAATAAATAAATAAAAGGAAAGTGCACAAATACAGTGTTTTATTGCAAAGACTTTGATGAGAATAAACAAATGAGAACTTGGATTGGGAACAGTCATTTTAGATACATTTGACTGGCTGTAAGTAAAACTGTCTCTAATATGCATGTTGTTTTTTGTGCATTTGGATTTTATTTCTATTTAGTGTTGGACAAATAAACAGAACACATTGTCAATACCTTTTAAAACACACCAAATACAGAAAGCAAAAATCATGTGGTCTTCGAAACAATCTTTTATACATGACTGACTCTTCCGAAGGAACTGACCTGCTGCAGGTGGACGCATTCTGTCTGTTGGGCGAGTTGTCAGGGCTGGTTGCAAGGCTGCTGAATCCAGGAGGAATGTCGCCCCACTCATCCAAACGCAGGCCGCTGCCCAGCGAATAAGTGCCAGCCGCACACGGAGTGCACTCCTGAGCAGACATCTCCAGAAACTCCCCCGCTTTGCACGAGAATGCTGACCGAAAGACGTAACAAAATGTACAATACATTTTATGCCAAAGAAAATAAAACATACTGACCAGATCAATCACTAATCCAAATACTGGGTGGGTCAAGTGCACCAAAACTATTATTATAGATCTTAAATCAGTTAGGCCATAACATTCAGCCCACTAACGTACACAAATAAAAATGAATGAATGTTAGTTTTTTTTATGCTATTTAGCTTTTTTGGTTAATTAATTCATTTTAATTTTTATTTGTATTTTTTTACAAGCATGCCAGCTTCTTTAGCTGCTTTAATTAATTTAAATTGTTGTTGTTGTTGTTGTTGTTTTAAAAACCATACCAGACTCTTTGTCCATTTAAAATAAATAAATA